GGTGGGTAAGGGAGTTGCTCAAAAGCTTACTGATGAAAGTGACGAAGATGACGCTGGAAAAGCAAAATCTAATCTCAAACCTATTGGTACGACTAGTGGAGGGAAAAATGCTTCAACCAGTCTAACTACTACCACAGACATGGATGCTAATGGAAGTGATAAAGATGATGTTGATGCTAAAACCAATTATTTAGCACAAAAATCATGCAGATTGATCAAAGTAAGGATGAAGACTAAAACAAATCCCAGGCGTTACGAACTTTCGCGACAAAGGTCTATTACCAATTTCAATAGTAAAGCTTTCAGGCTCATCTGGAGGTATACTTTCCGAATGAGACTTCCATTTCTACAATAATTTTCAAGAATTCGGGAACTCCGTTAAGGAAATGGATCAGAAGTCGAATTTTTGCTAAAGGGACTGAGGAGTCGAAAAATTTGTTTATGAAGCCAATTGCATTTTCGAATGCTATAAACATTGAGTTAGATGATGATGCAGAGTACGATTGGCTCATGAGTGTGAATGACGATATTTTTGAGACGTTTGATGCAAGCCGAATGAATTTAAGAGGTTGCGAAATAAGGAAGATGTTTAAATTGTGGCACTTTGTTAAACAACGTTGATATTGTGCATATTCATGTAACTACATCCATTTCCTTCATGCGACACATAACGTATTTAATCGTTCTAGTACAAAAATACACAATCATTCTAACAACGGCATTGAAATCGTTCCTGAAACACAAAACGATATATATATCGTTCCAATACGAAAAGTGAACTGATTTTCATAACGATATTGAAATCGTTCTCGTAACAAAGAAAGACTTCGATATCGTTTCAGTATGAAATACACACTGCTTCATTGATTTTCGTAACGATATTGAAATCGTTCCCGTAACAAAAAATGACTTGGATATCGTTTCAATATGAAATACACGTTGATTTTCGTAACGATATGGACATTGTTTCTGTAATAAAAAAATGATTTCAATATCGTTTCAATATGAAATACACACTGTTTCACTGAGTTTCATAACGATATGGAAATCGTTCTCATAACAAAAAAGGACTTAAATATCATTTTAGTATGAAACATACACTACTTCACTATTTTCGTAACGACATAGAAGTCGTTATGACTATTAATAACGACATTGATGCCGTTCTTTAAACAGGGCGCGCACCATCTTTGCAGGTTTAGGCGTGCACCTGGATGACTATTACGTCCTCTTCAACTGAGTCCTCCAATTAATTGCATCATAGGTCCTTCGAAGACATAGATGTTGTTTCTTCCCATATAAAACGACAACGATGTCGTTGTAGTGTCAAACCAACGAAACAAAGTAACGACGTTCATATCGTTTCAGTACAAATTTGTCGAGTTGGAACTCGTTTCAATTAAAATCGTAACTATAATGACATATATGTCGTTTCTTCATATATAAAACGACAATGATGTCTTGTAATGTCAAAACCACAAAACAAAGTAATGATGTCCATATCGTTCCAGTATAAATTGGTCGAGTTGGAACTCGTTTCAGTCAAAATCGTAACTAGAACGACATATATGTCGTTTCGTCTTATATAAAACGAGTTTAAATCGTTCCAATTCAAATAATAATTATAATGATTTAGATATCGTTTCTTTTCATGCAAAACGATAATTATATCGTTTTGGTTAAAAATAACGATTCGATCATCCACAACCACTCAGCATGCCTTCAACATACGTAAGACGATCGAAAGAGGTCATCAAGTGGGTTGATGTCACTCGAATGACTTAGAAAGAACGAACGAAGATACTTTCTTTCTATTAGAATAATTCGAAGGTTGTATATAGTAATGAGAAAACAAATATTCCCATGGCATCTTTTGAGTGAGATCGAACCCAC